AGGAATTTGTCACGAGAGAATTAAACTCAGGTCCAGCGTGGCTGCAAGAGGGTCTGGAGGTTTCCTGGAGGGCTGGTCTGATGTGTGGGCTGCAGGGCCAGCGCTCCTTGTTTTTTTTAATTATTATTATTAACAATAGAACAGAATACAGCTCCTCAGACTGAAGAAGTCTTTCGGATGAAAGACGAAACGTTTCTACTTTTTTTTTTTTTTGCTTTGTTTTGCTCTTTTGAATGTCCAGAGGACCAGACTTAACTGTTTTGGATTTTTCTACCTGGATTATTGAGCAGCATCAGCATCTTTTTAAATAAAGTTAAATCGTTATCGTTTGCAACTCTTATTCTGAAAGGCCGCGCCGGAAGCCCGCCTGTTGTAACTTCCGGTGCTGTGGTTGTGATGAACAGTGAGGAGGCGTCAACAGGAACAAACTGTGACAAACTCTCCAGAGTTTCGCGGTCGTTCCCGAACCCAGCCCGGACCCGCCGGACGGACTTTGTGGACCTCCTCTGCTCCGAGGCGGAGGCGGGCGGCCCCGGGGAGCTGTGCGGCGCGTGTCCGCAGTGAGCGGCGTGGTTTGGGGCTGACGCAGCGGGAGAGGCGGGGGGCAGCAGCTAAGCTAGGCTAACCGCCGCTCCTCGCGCTGGACCTTGAACTTGTAGAAACTTTGAAGATCTGCTCCAGCTGCTCCAGCTGCCCGGACCAAACACCGGAGGCTCAGGAGGAAAGAGCCTCCTTGTTGCTGCCGGCCAAGAAAGTTGTCCCGGCCGAGCGGACCGTGACGGCGGCTTCGTTAGCGGCAGAACACGCGGAGCGCCTGCTCGTCTGAGCCGGAGTTCTGGTGGGTCTCCGGTCAGTCCGGGCGGTGCTAGCATGGAGACCGGGGAGGCTGGCAGCGGCAGCTCGGAGCGCTTACATAACGCCTGCAGGTCGGCAGAGCAGCTGCTGAGCGTCGCCTCCTCCTCCGCCTCCTCGTCCTCGGTTCGGCTGTGACAGTCCTGCACGCGAACAGAACCGCAACCACAACCCGAGGGGGAGGACAGGACCGCAGCATGGAGGACTGAGCTTCCAC